CCAAATTCTTACACAATAGTAGAATCAAGATATGTTGAATTTTTTGAAAATCTCACTTGTAATAGTAAACTAGATAAAACAAGTTCTGTACCAAGTGAAATGATAATGAGAATGATCAAAACATTTAAGAAGAACATATAGAAAATAATGATGATGAGAAAATAGAACCAATAAGAAGTAAAAGAATTAGAAGTGACCCATCTTATAACTTTGGACAAGATTTTTATATTTATCTAGTTGATGCTAATCAAAATAAGATATTAAATTCAATACCAAAAGTCTCAAATGTGGAGGAAGATCCTACATCATAAAGTGAAGCCTTGGCATCACCAGACGTAACTTTTTGGAGATAACGTATAAATTGTGCAATGGATTCCATAATTGTAAATAAAACTTGAAAATTGGTAAGTCTTCCATTTGGTAAACCCATAGGTTGAAAATAGATTTTTAAAAGAAAATATAATACTGATAGTTCTATTAACAAATGCAATGGCAAGATTAATTGTCAAAGGATTTAAATAAAAAGATGGCGTCGATTATTTTGACACATATCCACCTAGTAAGAATTGTTACTATATAATTGCCTTTAGCAATAGCCTCTATTAACCATTTTGTCATACATCCAATGTATGTAAAATTTGTTTTCTTAAATGGCGACCTAGATGAAAAATCCATATGGAATAACCGAAAGGGTCTGTGATCAGGTCATGAGAACAAAGTTTATAAATTAGTTAAATTTTTTTATAGAGTGAAACAAACATAAAAACAATGGCATAAGAAATTTGATAGTGTGTTAATGTCAAATGGATTTAAGAGAAATGAGGTTCATAAATGTGTATATAGTAAGCAAAAAAATTCCTTATATGTCATAATATGTCTATATGTAAGACGATATGCTAATTCTTGGCACTAATCTAAAAATTATAGAGGAAACTAAAAGAATCATATAATTTAACTTTGATATGGAGTTGGGAGAGGATGATATGATACTTGGTATCAAAATAGTGAGAAAAGAAAAAAATAATAATTTTGACTCAATCTCTTTACATTGAGAAAATATTATTTAAGTTTGAGCATACTGATAGTACTTCAGTTTCTAATCCCGTAGATCCTCATATTAAGTTAACGAAAAATAATGAGAGATGGATATCTTATTGAATATGCCAGGGTAATTGTTAGTATATGTGCAATGAACAGCACAAAGCCTGACATTGCATATGCAGTTGACAAACTTACTAGATATATAATTTGCCGTGGTAGAGAGCATTGGAATAACATATCTCGATTATTAAGATACTTGAAAGGAACTATCATTTATTATATATATTTTATGGGTTATCCTAGAGTCTTAGAAGGGTATAGTAATGTAATTGGAACAAATAAATCCAAGATTCACTATCGACATCTGGATGGATTTTTACATTAGTAGGTGGAGCGATATCATGAATCAAATAAATAAACGTGTATTTCACGCTCTATTATGAAGTAAAAAAATATTGCTTTAGACTATACCAGTAAAAAGGCATAATAGTTATATAACATTCCTATATGGACAAAATCAATACATGCAATTACAATATATTATGATAATTAAGCTATTATTGTGAGGATTGTAATGATATATATAATAAAAAATCTGTATCTATTACGTGAAGGCATAACTCCATTAAAATGTTAATTTGAGATGGAGTGATTAGTGCAAAATATATAAGATCAAATGAAAATTTGGCTTATCTTTTAATAAAAGGTCTTGCAAAGGATGACATTAGTAAAATGTCTAAAAGAATGAGATTAGATTCCATAGAGTAATTATCTATAGTGGGAACCCAACATAGTCTTTTGTAACCTTAAAATTGTAGGTTTAATCTGGTAATAACAAACTATAAGTATAATTAGATTGGTCACTAGGCATCAAAATATTGTAAACACCAATTCTAAGAAAATCTATATAATGGATAAGTCTAGTGATGATTTGTATGTTAGTAGGTTGAGTTATACTGTTAATGTTGTCTATAGAGTGGTTACAAGTCAGAATATTTTATATACATTGGCACTCTTGATAGACACACCTATAAAAGAGTAGAAGTGAGGCCGCTTTCTATGAGATGTGACTCATCTCTAGAGCACTTATAAAATCGAGATATAAGCACAAGACCCAAAATGTGCTGGGAGCAAAAGACACAATAGGTGAATGTTATTCGTGAGTTATACTATCGATCTATTAGATAAGCAACCTGGTTTAAAACTATATGCGACCATGGTATACGATATACTTTATAGTGCACCCTCTAAGGTTCAAATCGAAAGATATCTTCATGGTATGCAAATAATATATTTTTTATAATTTTTTATTATTTGAAAATAGTGGAGGAAATGTTAGTATTTTTTGTTTTGTAGAAGACTTGTATGTATTTCAAAATAAGATAATGTATTGTATAGTCTTCCTAAGCTTTATTTTGTAGAGAGATAAAGGTGTGGGTTTTTAGTCCCACATTGAATAAGAGAGTGTGGATTGAGTACATTTAAGTGTGGGCATTCTCATGCTTTGTACTTTTAGAATAAATGTGAGAGTGATAATATGTATACGGAGCACACGAAGCGTGAGATGTGCACTCGCGCGCACGTGTCGTAGGGGTGGGCACGATGGCGCTTGATGAGCACTACGCGTGCATCGGGGCATGAGGCACTCCTTATCGGAGCACGTTTACGGGTCAAGCCTGATATCTTTTTACGAGCATGATACATGTGAGACATCCAACGGTCACTAACCGTTGAAGAGATGAAAGCTTGTAACATATCATAACCTTCGAATTTAAAGGCGGTGCATGTAATAAGTGGCTATTGGCAGCACATGTAACTACTTTAATAATAAATATGCAACATTTTAGAGCTCTACATAACAGGCTTTTCCCATTCGAGATACACAAAATACACAATATTATCTCGGCGAATTTCGAGGGAGCATAATAGAGCACTCATCCATCTCTCTACTCGTTTTTATTTTTTTTCTTTCTCTAAGAATATATAACTCTGGTGTTCTACATATGACTTTTGGTTCGGGCATCAAAAAGGCACATTTTGTTGTTCTGTATCCTGAGGACGAATTACATTTTTTTATGCATACCGTTTACAGTATAGAAAGGGGTCAATATTTTCTTGAGATAGCGCTCTGTGTTAGATAACAACAAGGGAGTACGACTGGTTTGTTTTTATTTTTGTCCCTTTTACACCCAAACATCCTTATGTAAGGTTAGTGCGGCTTCTAAAGAGACCCGACCTAGCCCTGCATGTTGCCAGCCTAAGATACTATGATACATGGCTTCCTGTAAATTCATTTCAAGAATGGATTTTAGTAAAATCATAGTTTATAATCACATGTTGCACGGTGTATCGTATGGTATGGCATACTAGCATATACTCAATGTCTATGGTAGGGTTTACACTCTTCTATAAAGAGCAGTGTTTGAAAACAAAATGTTTTTACGATCTAGGTATCC